TGCTACTTTATTAATTTACTTTGCTCCAGATCATGAGATTTCTTATATCGAGGGATTATATTCAATAGTCGCTATCTGTCATTTTTATGAAAATGAGATTTTGATGGCAAAATATTCAGCAAACTATCACGTATCAGTGATATAAATTTCAAAGAAAAAAAAATTTTTTGCCAATTTTATAGCATTTTTTAAATTTCTCTATCTTAAAAAAAGAAAAATTCTGAATGCAAAACTCTCTATCTTATCCAAAAATTGCTTCAAACTCGATCCCTTTGGATAATTTTCTGTTGCAAAACAAGTCTTCTTCTTTGGACATGCTGAACACAAATCCGTCAAAATATTTAAAATCGGTCTAATAGTTTTTGAGATATCGCTCATTATGATACTAATTAAATCAATTTTATTGTCGTGTTTAACCATATAACATTGATTTTGGACCAAAACATTATAATCTGTTGCTTTTTCAACAATTTGGTTTCTTTTTCTCCATTAAATTGTATAAAATATAATATTTATTGATTTTAATTCAAATAAAAATTTTATGTTTCCATGAAAAACTCTCTATCTGTTGGTTGAATGAACATTTTCGTAGAAAAATAAGTTCTATCTGATATAAATTTGTGAATAATTTTGTAAATAATGCAAAAATTAAAATTCTTTTTATATAATGGTTTAGAATATGGTCGTAAAAATATATTGTAAAAGAAAAAATTAAAAAATCTTCACGAACTAGCGAAATAAACAGTTTTTTTTGCTCTCCTGAAAACTTGTATTATTTTAGATAGAGACTATTGAATATAGTCCCTCGATATATTATTGAAAATTTAAACTTTGCATACGCGGATGACGTTGCGGTAGTAGTTTCAAGGTTTCTTCTGAATGCGATTTCTCAAAGACTCGAGATAGCACTTAATGGAGTATGGACAGTGGTTTGAGTGTAAATCCGAGCAAAATCGAACTTGTATTTTATACTAGGAAATCGACAGCTTCACGCTGCCTCGTAAACTGGATTAATGAAGCGTTATTAAACCAATTCTTTTACACGGATTGGTTGTTTGGTGGAAAGCACCGAACAAAAACTTCAATTCTATACTCCTTGACAAAATTCTAAAAAGGATATCAATCCTCATAACTGGATCATTGAGAACAACATCAAACAAATCTTTATTTGCACTGCTGCACTGGATTCCAATTGATTTATTGCCCAGAAAACTGGCATTTGGAACAGTTTTATAAGACTCAATGCAATAGGTGTATGGACATACAAGTCGCCCAAGTATTATATAGGAGATATCTGTTCTCTCTAATATTGATTACTGCACTCTCAAACCCTGCTTCCACAGAATTTCGCTTATACTATTTCCGTAAACTCTGCACTGGAGGAAGATAGCTCTGCAAGAACCCTTTCGGTGTACACAGACGGTTCCAAAAAAGCCGAACTAGTGGGAGGTGCCATTTTCATTCCTGAATTTGGGATAAAAATAAGTTTTAGTAAACAAAATGAAGGTAGTCCATCAGCCATAAAAGAAGCTGCAAATTGGCTTTGGTATTACAGAATATCAAATAGAGATATTCAAATTTATTCCAATAGTCTAACTGCTATCAAATCTCTGATTGGTGTAAATACTACATCTATACTAGTCCAGGAATGAAATAGGATGGATGGGTACACGGGGATTTGATTCGCACCTATGTAGCTAATGAAAATTGTCGCTTCAATGTCCGAAAAGGACATAGACATCTTTTGCGGCATTCCGCTAAAAGCTTGCAAACAAAGATAAAAGTTTCTATGAACTTTCCCAGGCAATATGTCATAATGAGCCAACTTGTATCATTACCAGGAACATGTGGTCAAGTTTTAATAGTAAATGCCCGTCATATCTCCTACAACTATATAATAATCTCAACTATCTAGTTGCCGTCATCACAGTTCATGGTTTATTTGGGAACCACGCAAGAAGACTTGGCATACACTACAACGACTTCTACAGAAGCTGCCAGTATGAAGAAGAGGAAGAATCCATAGAACATCTTCTCTGCCATAAAATATTAACGCCTTCATTGGATAAAGCGATTGGTTTTGAAATCATCTATTATACGACATTTTCACAGCCCATAAGGACCAAACACTTTCTCTTCTTTTTCTCTAACTCGACTACACTTTACTCAAAACATACTCTTATCTTTAAACTCTTAACATACTCTTTACTTTTTCTAACTTAACCCACACACTTCTCCTTCTTTTCTCTTTTGCTTTTCATTATCTTTGTAGGTATTACAAAGGGACCAACAGGACCCAAGTGAGCGTTTTTTCCAGCCTGGATACCAAACATAACCTAAGATCAAGTTAATTTTGTCATGTCGTTTGAAAAACATGAACATTTTGGATTAGGACCCACAAAATCATATGAACATATATATACATATGTATATTATAGGATTAGTTGACTCTGAACGTCCGAACGTCTGTCTGTTAAATGAACGAGCTGGAAAGCTGAATTCACAGATATTAGCACAAACGTATTACTACTTGTGCTTAAGACTGTGCCTCCAAACTAGACGTTTTCAATCACAAGAAACTGTAAGCATCAGCATTATTTTGTGATACATATTAAATAATTGTTTATACAAAAATTAATACTTCATTTTTCGGATGATATCATTGCGGTTAAGACTAGATTTTAATAAGCTTTTAAAGCAAGAAGATTTTTTAGATGTGGTCAGCAAAAGCATGAACAAAAGGAATAAAAGTCATATAAATAAACAATAAAATCATAAAGTAGAACTTAAAATTTATACTTTGAGAATGATAACTCTTTCATAGTTGATATAAAATTATAAAATCTGTTATGTCCCATCTGTTAGCTTTAAAGTAAAGATTTAATCTATGTTATATATATTCTGAGACCAGAATAGGACAAGTTTCGACTTTGTTTCAAATTGTTAGAGTGCTATATTCGTCTGAGCCGAATCCTTAATACCCTCCACCAACTACTTTTATATTAATACTTTTCTAATTGATCAAATATTTGTAAAAATAAGTTTTATCATGTCTTAAATAGAAAAATCCCAAGATTTAAACAACTTAAATCTATTAGAATTCCAAGATTTATTGAACATTACAAACGCCATTTTCTTTTATATTTTTATATCGCCCTAAGATATGCTTTAGCAATATTTAGTAATTTGCATGTATGCATGCACCTATCGTGAAAAAATCTTGAAATATAATTTTTGTATACAAAACTAATATTTGTGCCAAATTTTGTATCAATAGCTTTATTTGGTAATGAGTAATGTGTGTTTAAGAGATTTTCGTAAAAGGACCTTGTATGGGAGCTATGACCAATTATATATATAAAGACAAAATTTCAAAATTCTGTATATATATATCATTATTTGGTAATGAATATTGTGCATTTAAGTAATTTTCTGAAGGGGACCTAGTATGAGTGCTATGACCAAATATGGACCGATCGTAAAATGAGTTATGTGCCTTTAAGTGTTTTTCTGAAAGGGACCTTGTATAGCAGCTATGATCAATTATGGACCGATAGGAAATAGTAATAGTTCTCTGTATATGAGCAATACTTGTACCAAATTTTATATGGATATCTTAATTTAGTAATGAGTTATATGCGTTTAAGTGATTTTCGGGAGGGGACCTTGCATGGGAGCTATGACCAATTATGGACCGATCGGAAAAGACTTTCACAGTAATATTTCTGTGCATATGAGTAATACTTGTACCAAATTTTATATGGATATCTTATTTAAGTAATGAGTTATGCGCGTTTAAGTGATTTTCGGGAGTGGACCTTGTATGGGAGCTATGACCAATTATGGACCTATCGGAAAAAAGGTCACAGTAATATCTCTGTGCATATGAGTAATACTTGTACCAAATTTTATATGGATATCTTAATTTAGTAATGAGTTATGCGCGTTTAAGTGATTTTCGGGAGGGGACCTTGTATGGGAGCTATGTCCAATTATGGACCGATTGGAAACAACTTTCACAGTAATATTTCTATGCATATGGGCAATACGTGTACCAAATTTTATATGGATATCTTAATTTAGTAATGAGATATGCGCGTTTAAGTGATTTTCTTGAGGGGACCTTGTATGGGAGCTATGTCCAATTATGGACCGATTCAGAAAATTTTTTCTCTGTATGAATTCTATTGACATAAGATTGTAAAATTTTGTGAAGATATCGACATTGTGACGGAAGTTATTAACAAAAACCCCATTTTCCGGGAATATGTACTTTTGTATGGGAGGTATATGAAATTGTGGACCGATTCTGGAAATTTTCAGCAGGGATCAAGCTCTTGTGTAGAAACGAATGTGTGGAATTATCTTGCATAGTTTTCGAGAAAATTATATCAGAATGTGTAAAAAATGCTTATTTTTTCGAGGTTGTTTTAAATTTTGATTCATAACTTTTCCCGGTGTGAACCGATTTTGCCCATTTTCAATACCAAACAACTTAGGAAAATGAAGAACATTTTGGGTGAATTAGGTTAAACTCTATATCTTCGTTTTATCGTGAGCGTGTTTTACACAGACAGACGGACAGACGAACATAGCTAAATCGACTCAGAATTTGATAAGGACCGAGAATATATATACTTTGTTGGGTCTCAGATGAATATTTCTTGGTCTTACACACGGAATGACAAAGTTATATATACCCTCTATCACCACTGATGGTGGTGGAGGTTATAAAAATAATATTTCTTCATACGTGAGCTTCCTCTATTAATAAATATGACATAAAATTTTATACTAATTCTTTACTCAACATGTTTGTTGTAAAAAAATACGATTGATTTCTTGGAAATTTGATAATATTAATACAAATACTCACACTTACTATACAGACGATTTGTATAGTAAATAAAAGAAAAAATATTTTATTTTTTAATTGTTTAAGGCATACACTGTTTGTTTATTAATTTTATTATTTCATTGTGTTCTTATTTATATTACAGCCACCAAACGTTTAAAGGCAAATCCAAAATTAAACGCCGATGAAATAAGCATAATGCACAAACGTTGGCATCAAGAATACAGATGGATGCAAAATCTACAAACACCACATATTGTAAGATCTGCTAACATAAATGATGAGGAGTTTTTTAGATATTTAGCGGGTGGCAATCATGTAGAACATTCATTGCCCGTTATTATAATGGAATATTGTAATGGTGGTGATTTGAGAAGGCAACTGAATCAAGTAGAAAATGTTAATGGTTTGAAAGAGTTTGAAATACGTACAATTTTAAATGCTCTACTTTGTGCCATCGATTATTTGCATCAAGTATATAATATCGAACATCGTGATATAAAGCCTGAAAATATTATTTTACATATAGAGGGAAATAAAAAGATTTATAAGGTAATAATTAAGTAACTAAATATTTTATGCTTAAAATGTTTTCAATTTCAAATCAATGAAGATCCAAAGATAGAGTTACAAACTAAAAAATAAAATAAGTAGAGGAGAGATGAATGGAAGATTTACCGATTCGATTCCCTTATGAATGAAATGTGAGAGAAACTGAGTCTTCTTATAAACCCAGTCGAAGAAATGACTAATTCCCCTCATAAAACCTATTAGACGGTTATTTCCCCCACTTCGTAATGAAACATATTTCCCAGCCATTTCAGTCTGAAATTCTGTTTTCTAGGACTTTGCAAAATTATATACTCGATCTCTATTTCCTCTGCATCCTCGCATAGCCTACAATAGTTCGATATATTACGTCGATATTATTGTCCCCAACCTCATTAGTATATTATAGTATAATAGCAAAACGGACCCTAAGAGCATTACAACAATCTACTAGCAGGCGCAAATGTATGTATGTATGTATGTATGTATGTATGTATGTATGTATGTATGATGTATGTATGTATGTATTGTATGTATGTATGTATGTATGTATGTATGTATGTATGTATGTATGTATGTAGTATGTATGTATGTATGTATGTATGTATGTATGTAGTATGTATGTATGTATGTATGTATGTATGTATGTATGTATGTATGTATGTCTGTATGTATGTATGTATGTATGTATGTATGTATGTATGTATGTATGTATGTATGTATGTATGTATGTATGTATGTATGTATGTATGTATGTATGTATGTATGTATGTATGTATGTATGTATGTATGTATGTATGTATGTATGTATGTATGTATGTATGTATGTATGTATGTATGTATGTATGTATGTATGTATGTATGTATGTATGTATGTATGTATGTATGTATGTATGTATGTAGGTATGTATGTATGTATGTATGTATGTATGTATGTATGTATGTATGTATGTATGTATGTAGTATGTATGTATGTATGTATGTATGTATGTATGTATGTATGTATGTATGTATGTATGTATGTATGTATGTATGTATGTATGTATGTATGTATGTATGTATGTATGTATGTATGTATGTATGTATGTATGTATGTATGTATGTATGTATGTATGTATGTATGTATGTATGTATGTATGTATGTATGTATGTATGTATGTATGTATGTATGTATGTATGTATGTATGTATGTATGTATGTATGTATGTATGTATGTATGTATGTATGTATGTATGTATGTATGTATGTATGTATGTATGTATGTATGTATGTATGTATGTATGTATGTATGTATGTATGTATGTATGTATGTATGTATGTATGTATGTATGCATGCATGCATGCATGCATGCATGCATGCATGCATGCATGTATGTATGTATGTATGTATGTATGTATGTATGTATGTATGTATGTATGTATGTATGTATGTATGTATGTATGTATGTATGTATGTATGTATGTATGTATGTATGTATGTATGTATGTATGTATGTATGTATGTATGTATGTATGTATGTATGTATGTATGTATGTATGTCTGTATGTATGTATGTATGTATGTATGTATGCATGTATGTATGTATGTATGTATGTTCCAAAATTTTTGTACGATAAGCTTAAATGCCAATATGAAAATTTTATGTAATAATGGGCGGGATAAGAAAGAGTGGGCTTGTCATCCGGAGAAAATATAAAATTTGGAGTGCTCAAATTTCGCCCGAACCACTATGATATCAATATAAATATTTAAGACAAATATGGGCGGACTAGAAAAAGGGGGCGTGGTACTTCCCATATAAATTAAATACAAAAATTTGTATATCGGGGAAGCTATTGGAGCTATAATGCTCAAATCTTGCATTAATAATTTTGACATCCCTGTTAATGAATTGGCGGATCACGGGAACGTGGTCCCTCTCATAAGAAAAAATCGTATATCCGGAAAACTATTGGAGCTAGAATGCTCAAATTTTGCACGTACAATTTTGACAATCGTGTAAACATTTGTCTAATAAATTGACGGACTAAGGAAGCGTAAATACAAAAATTCGTATATCTAGGAAACCCATTATAGCTAAAATCCTTAAATTTTGCACGATCAACACAGAAATTCATGTGAATAATTTGCAAAAAAATAACCCGACAAGCAATCGGGGCATGTATAAATTAAATTGTAAATATGAAAAATCGTAAGGGATTTTTTTATTTATATTGTCTCTACGTTTATAGCTAGTTATTTATAAAATAAATCCAAAACTCATAAAATTTAAAATGCTTCGTCTTGATGGAATGAGAACCTACGAGAGGAAGATTTTTGTCAGTTTTTCGTTCTTCAGTACTTTTCGAATTTTTGTTTGTTTTCCTAATGCTTTTTAAAGAGTCGATGCTATCTTAGTTGTTTTTTTTTTATCACATTGTTGTTTTGTTTACTTTTTAGCTCACCGATTTCGGTTATGCACGCGAAATTCCTGAGTCTACTGTAGCACAAAGTGTTGTTGGTACCCGCAACTATGTAGCACCTGAAGTTATTGATCCTGGAGATTATACAGAAACCGTTGATTATTGGTCCATTGGTATAGTGGCTTACGAGATTATTTGTGGCCATCAACCCTTCTTACCACATCAAACATTTTTTAATCGCATGACTAACATAAAACGAAAAACACGAGAATGCATTGCTATTGCAGAAGATGTTGACCATCCAGATACAGAAAATTTTATTTTCATTAAACATTTGCCTGCTCAAAATCATTCCAGTACAATTTTTATAAAAAAGATGGAAGATTGGTTACGTTTAACTTTGGATATTGATTACAAAACCAGAGGCCGAAATAGTAAAAACGAATTGAAATTCTATACAGATATGCGTTCGCTGTTAAATAAAAAAATCGTAACAGTGTTTTCTTTAAAATCATATGAAAAATTTTACTATGACATCGAAGCATACTCGAGTTTAGAGAATTTTTTGCAACACATTTCATATGATACTCAAATTGATATTAATAATATATTCGCAATAAATCCACCATTACATCCATGTAAAAATATACTAAATCCCTTGGATTATTATGTTCCAGAATGGAGTGACATCAGTAATCCTTTAAATCCTCCTGTCATGTTGTTTGTGGGCGAGTTTTTAATACAAAGTGAATTGAATATAAATGAAGAAAAACATTTTCTTATTAGCGATACAATTAAAAGCTGTGTGAATATCAATCCACAAGAAGGAAATATTCCCGTATGGTTGTTGCAGCAGTTTGAGAAAGACGTCCATTTCATGTTAACCAAAGAACAACATTATTTAGTTTGTTATCTAATGGGACTTGAGAATTACGTAATTGAAATCGAACATAATGTGTTTAAGTACAAAGATGAAATTAATAAGCTTATTAAAAAAACATCAGAACTCGTCGGAAGTGTTAAATATTCCAATATATTTTTGAATGAATTTCTAAATATTCAAAATGGACAGGTAGGTTTTCATTTATTTCATTGGAAATGACATAGAGCGTTCAATACACTTAAACAATATTGAACTTTTATGTTTTAGATAGCCAACTCAACAATAGATATGGCACAAAAGATAAATACGCAATGCCAAGATTTTGAAGCCAATATTGTACCAATGTTAAGTCGTTTATACACTGAAATCTTACAAACTTTCCGAGATTTGGCTAACAATACGATTTACAAAGAAGTCAGAGAACAAGACATTTTTGAACTGTAAGTATACGAAGTTAAAAGTTACATTCAACACTTTATCTGTAATTTGTTTATTACTTTTAGCTTAAAATACCGCAAGTATCTTAATTATGAATATCCTCTTAATCAGCGTTTAGAAAATGCTCAATGTGCTTTTGACAAGTGTATCCATGAATTTATAAGTTTTACCAAGAGTAGTAAATGGAAAGAGACTCGTGAAAAAATAAATAAAAATCTACAATTATACAATAATTTACGCCAACAAGTTAACAATGTATTTAATGAAATGATACGATTGGAAAATGAACTACATGAATATACCAGATCGGTTGTAAGACATACCATGAACAATACTCGTTCGACTTCGAGTATGATTGCTTTGGATGGTACTAATGAGCAGTATTCATTAAGTGCTTTTGATTCCGAAACTCCAGAATTGATAAACGATTGTCAATCTATGTAAGTAAATGTACATATTATTATATATTTTTAAATAATTTTGCAGTTTGTTTTGAGTTTTAGAAGGTAGAATGTAACACTGATTATCCTATTATCTACATTAAGAACTGTTGATTCTGAAACTATAAAATTTCTTGGATTTAATTTTTCCTTTAAAAACTTTTGAAAATTTAAAAACGAATGTCTAATTTTTCTCGCAAATTAAAAACTTGAAAGTTAACTACTTTTTTATTCCAATTCAGTCTGTAAAAAAGAACATTTAAAAAGAAGTTAAAATTCATCGGTTGATCTCAGCTTAAAGGCGTGTGCAGGGCCTTCTTGGTCTTCTACACAAGTAATTTTTATCGTTTTTCTTAGGATTTGAACGATATCGTCAGCATATAAGACATATAATACAGGTCTAAGTCCATTTTACTCAAATAGATAGATAGATAGATAGATAGATAGATAGATAGATAGATAGATAGATAGATAGAAGATAGATAGATAGATAGATAGATAGATAGATAGATAGATAGATAGATAGATAGATAGATAGATAGATAGATAGATAGATAATTAGATAGATAGATAGATAGATAGATAGATAGATAGATAGATAGATTAGATAGATAGATAGATAGATAGATAGATAGATAGATAGATAGCGGATAGAGATAGATAGATAGCGGATAGAGATAGATAGATAGATAGATAGCGGATAGAGATAGATAGATAGATAGATAGCGGATAGAGATAGATAGATAGATAGATAGATAGATAGATAGATAGATAGATAGATAGATAGATAGATAGATAGATGTGGCCTCCGGTAGGTTAGTGGTTAGTGTTCTAGTCTGGTAGACCGGAGGTGGTGGGTTCGATTCCCACCTGAGGCACTGGTTAAGGAGCGCACAACAGGCCCGATAGAGGCCTAGGTGTATTTCTTCGGATTTGATGTATATTCATCCTCCTTTCAAACTAACTAACTAACTAACTAGATAGAATAGATAGATAGATAGATAGATCGATAGATAGATAGATAGATAGATAGATAGATAGATAGATAGATAGATAGATAGAATAGATAGATAGATAGATAGATAGATAGATAGATAGATAGATAGATAGATAGATAGATAGATAGATAGACAGATAGATAGATAGATAGATAGATAGATAGATAGATAGATAGATAGATAGATAGATAGATAGATAGATAGATAGATAGATAGATAGATAGATAGATAGATAGATAGAGATAGATAGATAGATAGATAGACAGATAGATAGATAGATAGATAGATAGATAGATAGAAGATAGATAGATAGATAGATAGATAGATAGATAGATAGATAGATAGATAGATAGATAGCTAGATAGATAGATAGATAGATAGATAGATAGATAGATAGATAGATAGATAGATAGATAGATAGATAGATAGATAGATAGATAGATAGATAGATAGATAGATAGATAGATAGATAGATAGATAGATAGATAGATAGATAGATAGATAGATAGATAGATAGATAGATAGATAGATAGATAGATAGATAGATAGATAGATAGATAGATAGATAGATAGATAGATAGATAGATAGATAGATAGATAGATAGATAGATAGATAGATAGATAGATAGATAGATAGATAGATAGATAGATAGATAGATAGATAGATAGATAGATAGATAGATAGATAGATAGATAGATAGATAGATAGATAGATAGATAGATAGATAGATAGATAGATAGATAGATAGATAGATAGATAGATAGATAGATAGATAGATAGATAGATAGATAGATAGATAGATAGATAGATAGATAGATAGATAGATAGATAGATAGATAGATAGATAGATAGATAGATAGATAGATAGATAGATAGATAGATAGATAGATAGATAGATAGATAGATAGATAGATAGATAGATAGATAGATAGATAGATAGATAGATAGATAGATAGATAGATAGATAGATAGATAGATAGATAGATAGATAGATAGATAGATAGATAGATAGATAGATAGATAGATATAGATGGATGGATGGATAGATGGATAGATAAGCTTTTTAAAATAATTTCAAAATCTTAAGATTTTTTAAAAAGATCGAGATTTGTTTCAATACTTCTTACACCTACACTATTATTATTATCTGTATCCAATCGTAATAACCACATAATAACTTTATAAGTCGGAAGGCATGTAAATCTGTGTGTCTATGTAAACCTTGTACACATGCACGCAGATAATATCATTAAATTTTGCACATACTCTTTTCATGATCCAAGGATGAAGCTTATTGTATATGTTTGAAATCAGTACATTATTTCACCTAGTTCCAATACAACTTTTGAGCTAATAATTATCTTAAATGTTTTAGTATCTCTACCAAAATCTGCAAAAATTTGTTATACATATAAGTTTAAATGATACTGCTGATTTTCATAATTATCTGGCCTTATTTGACTTTGTGTTTGTTTGGGAATTGCTTCAAATTACTTAAAAAGAAATGTGTTACTACTTGAAAATATTATTCTTTATTTTAAATCAAATTTTATAAAAAATATTTCTATGTTTTTTTACATTTCAGCATCAACGCTATGCAGTCTTCAATGTATATAGATGAATAAACAGTGCCGTATATTTATTTCATATGTTTAAATATAAATCATTTGATATCAATTAAAAATTAGTCATAAGTTTTTATGTACATATACTATATTTAGTTTAAGATATTCTACATTTTACTTTCAATACAAAGAAGTACGGATGATAATGGTAGAGCTTTACTAACATCTATCACTTCTTAAAGTTAAGAAAACTTTAAAAAGTAGTAGATGTTAGTAGAGCTCTACCTACCTACCTATTATGTATAGTAGATCGACTTAGGGACCTAATGTATGTATATTCAAATGTTAATTCTTAATAATGAGATGTTATCTTTCCCTTATAGAAATTTACACATAGGATAAGATAACATTTCATTATTAATGACTATTACTTTGTTTGAATATTAAAAAAGGTTTTAAAACATCTGTAAGTATGTCTAATGTATAAATGTTTTTTTAAAGTTATTTTAAGAAATTTAGATTTTAATTTTTATATACAACGTATGAAATATATATAAATTTTAATGTACAAAATTTTATTTTTAATTATTTTACCTTTAAATGTTTTAGTTTAGCGTTTAATGTACATATATGTAGTTATTGTGATAATCTTTATATATACATATATATATTTTTGTATAATACAACTCAATGGAAAATTTGCAAAATTTTTTATTGGGATTTAGTTTTTTTTTTTTTTTAATATTGTTAAAAGTCTGTTATAAAAAGAAAAATATAACTACACACACAAATTTATTTGTTTCTTTATTTATGTACCATGTATGTTATAATACAAAATATATGCTTACTTTGCAATGTCAATAATGTTTGATAAGTCAGCAATAATTCTCTTTATAACTCAAGTGTTTCATCATAATTATCATTATAGTTAATTAAACATTCATAGTGTTGACAGTTTTGGTGTGTAAAATAGAATGTCCTACTTCAAATCATTTTTAAATATTATATGGACTTTATTGTTTATCTGGAGTTTAGTAGCTGCTGCTCCACCCGCAAAAACAGAACGTTCCAAATTGCGTAAGTTAAATTAGGGGAAATATTTGATACATTCAAAATTATTAAGCCATTTTCAAGTATTTGTCAGGAATGTTAGTCTGTAACTCGAATTGTAAAGAAAAATTTTCGAATTTGTATATTTTCAAATCGAAATATGGAATAACTTTGCAGATTTTAGATTTTTTTGTAATTTGAACATGTTGAGTCCATTTAATTGAAATTTTAAAATTGTACTAATAACAAAAAGTGTACCTTTTAGGTTTTGAAGAAGTAAACTAGACTATAGACTATACTATAGACTAGACTATAGACTAGACTATAGACTAGACTATAGACTAGACTATAGACTAGACTATAGACTACACTATAGACTACACTATAGACTAACCTATAGACTAACCTATACTAGACTATAGACTAGACTAGACTAGACTATAGACTAGACTATAGACTAGACTATAGACTAGACTATAGACTAGACTATAGACTAGACTATAGACTAGACTATAGACTAGACGAAAGACTAGACGAAAGACTAGACAAGACTATAAACTAAACTATAGACTAGAATATAAACTAGACTATAGACTAGACTATAGACTAGACTTTAGTCTACACTATAGACTAACCTATAGACTAGACTATAGTCTACACTATAGACTAACCTATAGACTAGACTATAGACTAGACTATAGACTAGACTATAGACTAGACTATAGACTAGACTATAGACTAGACTATAGACTAGACTATAGACTAGACTATAGACTAGACTATAGACTAGACTATAGACTAGACTATAGACTAGACTATAGACTAGACTATAGACTAGACTATAGATAGACTATAGACTAGACTATAGACTAGACTATAGACTAGACTATAGACTAGACTAGACTATAGACTAGACTATAGACTAGACTATAGACTAGACATAGACTAGACTATAGACTAGACTATAGACTAGACTATAGACTAGACTAATAGACTAGACTATAGACTTACGAACTATAGACTAGACTATAGGACTAGACTATAGACTAGACTATAGAACTAGACTATAGACTAGACTATAGACTAGACTATAGACTAGACTATAGACTAGACTATAGACTATAGAGGACTATAGACTTAGACTATAGACTAGACTATAGACTAGACTATAGACTAGACTATAGACTAGACTATGACTAGACTATAGACTAGACTAGAGACTAGACTATAGACTAGACTATAGACTAGACTATAGACTAGACTATAGACTAGACTATAGACTAGGACTATAGACTAGACCTATAGACTAGACTATAGACTAGACTATAGACTAGACTAGACTAGAAGACTAGACTAGACTAGACTAATAGACTAGACTATAGAACGAGACCGATAGACTAGACTATAGACTAGACTATAGACTAGACTATAGACTAGACTATAGACTAGACTATAGACTAGACTATAGACTAGACTATAGACTAGACTATAGACTAGACTATAGACTAGACTATAGACTAGACTATAGACTAGACTATAGACTAGACTATACTGACTAAAGACTAGACTATAGACTAGACAATAGACTACACTATAGACTAGACTATAGACTAGACGATAGACTAGACTATAGACTAGACTATAGACTAGACTATAGACTAGACTATAGACTAGACTATAGACTAGACTATAGACTAGACTATAGACTAGACTATAGACTAGACTATAGACTAGACTATAGACTAGACTATAGACTAGACTATAGACTAGACTATAGACTAGACTATAGACTAGACTATAGACTAGACTATAGACTAGACTATAGATTAGACTATAGACTAGACTTTAGACTAGATTTCAATTCCACTTTTTCATTTCACAAAAATTGTCGTTTTCTTTTTTAAGAAGGAAAATAATTCCACTTTCGATCGGAATGGAAATTGGTGGCAGGGCCCGAAGATTTCATTTGATATCGAAATTGAGCAGTTGAATATTCAGTAAAAATGTGTTACTAAGTTTTTCAGAAGGAATTATTTTCTCATTTCATATTTATACTAATCTACACTTTCTCTCGCATTAGCATCCTTCGTCAAAATTTGTCGTCGTAATGATCCAAATCTAAATAAATGTGCCCGCAGTGCTTTAAATTCGCTTAAGGATCGTTTACAGGATGGAATACCGGAACTGCATATACCGGCTACAGAACCATTAGTAATACCCGAAATAAAAATGAATCAAGATACAGGAGCGGTTTATGTGAAATCGACCTATAAAAATATACACATTTATGGTTTATCGAATTTCACCATTAAATCGTTAAATATTGAACCATCTAAAATGAAATTCACTACTACTTTGATGTTTTCGAATATAACCATTAATGCTGACTATGAAATTGATGGTAAAATAATGATGATGCCTTTGTCGGGTTCGGGTCCTTGTAATGCAAATTTCAGTAAGTTTTTTTTTAATTGTTTTCATTTTCGATATTGATCACTAATAGTATGTTTTTGTTTATAGGTGATGTTGCTTTGACTACCGTTATATTGGGTGAACGTCAAAAGAAAAATGGTCGTAATTATTTGAAGATTAAGGATATCAAAGTCAACTATGATGTGGGTAAAGTGAAATTAAATTTGAATGATTTATTCAATGGTGATAATGATTTGGGTGATCGTATGAATTCATTTTTAAATGAAAATTGGGATTCTTTGTCGGAGGAATTGAGACCTCTATTGGAGAAGGCCTTAACCGAGGTGGTCCAGTCGTCGACTGATAAACTTTTTAAAACATATAGTTATGATGATTTGTTGCCATTGTAAAGTGAAATATATTTTTAAGTAATCGTCATAAAAAAGTTAAAATTATTATTTATAAATTCACAAATATTTATATTTTTAACATCTATTTATAACCATTTTATAAGAAATATATTTATAATAAACTAATATTTTATGATTTGAGAAAATTATATAAAAAATTAAGATCGTTTACAGATTAAAACAAGTAAGAAAGTATAGTCGGGCGTGGCCGACCATATGATACCCTACACCAGTTATGAATATTAAATGTGATTTATTTTTCATAATAAAGCATTTATCTTCAATATTCCCTTGTTCCGATACATTTAAGCAATTTATGGATGAAAAACAAATTTTCTGAAAGAGGCTTTATATGGGGCTAGGGGCAAATATGGACCAATCACGATAAAATTTTGTGAATATATTTATATTTACATAATATTTTATTGTGCTGAATTTCATCGCGATACTTGTGTTTATAAGATAATTTGGGACATTTAAGTAATTTTCTGAAGGGGACTTTGTATGGGAGCTAGGGTCAAATGTGGCCCGATCTTTATGAAATTTGGCAGGGTCATCAAGACTTCTATAAAACTTAGTTGTGCGTATTTTATCGATATATCTGTATATTTAACATAATTATGAGCTCAGAAGCCCTTTTCGGGGGGTTCTGTTCTATGGAGGCTAGGTGAAATAATGGACCGATTTTAACCATTTTCAATAGGCTTCGTCCTTGGGTCAAATAAAACATGCGTGCCAAATTTCATCCAATTATCTTGAAAATTGCGACCTGTACCTTGCGCACAAGGTTTACATGGACAGCCAGCCAGACGGATGGACGGACGGACATAGCTTAATCGACTCAGAAAACGATTCTAAGCCGATATTTTTGTATGTTACAAACATCAGCACAAATCCAATATACCCTCCCCACTAAAGTGGTGTAGGGTATAACTAAGATTGTTTACTGATCTGCTATTAAACGTAAGGCTCTTTAGGGAACTACGATTTAAGTAAAGATATGTATGTAGTTTACAGAACAAAAGGAATGATAATTTCGGAAAGGAATCTGTGCTAAAAATACCAGGCATTTTATAAATCTATTAATAAATTATTTGTTTCTATGACAGCACAATTAAAGTTTTCGCTACAAAAAATCAAACTTTACTTCAATTTATTATTATTATTTTTAACAATTTATTATAAAATTAAATTAAACTCTACAAACAAATTAATAAAACTAAAATAAATACAACAAAATATTAAATAAAACATATTAATAACAATTCATTTCAATTAAACTAACCACAATTTCAAAGGCATTTTCGAGAATACATTATTCCATAAACCATGAAATATATCGGCTAAACCTTTTTCTAAATCTGGTCTTAATTCTGAAATAACCTCATTACCGTTTTGATTAAGAAAAGCATTAATGGAAGCAGCCAAAATGTCATTGCCATTGAAAAGATTCTTAAGGTGAATACGCATATTGCCCACATTAAAGGTGACTTTCATATCATCAATGTGTATAATTTCCTGAAATTAAACCAAAAATTAAATCAAATTTCTTATTATCTCTATAAATTCCATACTTACTTCTGGGGAATTTCTCAAACTTATGCGTGTATAAACAGCTGTTTTGACATCTTTTAAAGCTAAATTTACATCACCATTACCGATAAGAGGCAATAATAGAATATGACCATTTAGATTATATTTGGCTTTAATACGCAGAATTGGTATTTCCAATTCGAAATTAAGGATTTCTTTTCCAAGTCGAGACTGTTTGGGAAAAGAAATTTTATTTGTTAGAATCAAAGTTTAAATTTTTATCAGAGGTTTTAAGCAAATAACATACACTGCTCGTTTCACTGTGGCATTTGAAGGCCCACTCACGATTAAATTTTGAAAACCTCCGGCTAATATTAAATTTCCACTACCTTTTTTCACGGATACCTGATCAATGTGTAGCGGTTCAAATCCCCTTACACCAATTTCTGGTATACCAGCTGCCAGTGCTGGAAAACATCCCTCAAACATTTTGCGGAAACATTTGTTTTCATTTGGATTGTTTCGAGGGCAGGTTTTTAACCAAGTTGCTGAAATTAAAAAATAAGGTTAAAATTATGCTACTTCAGGGATGGAAATTTAAAAATTTGAAATAGTACATACATAGTACAAACTCATAACTAAAAGAGTACTTTTAAGGTTTTAAGGCACTAAACTAATTTTCTGCTAAACCAGACTTTAGAATAGACTATGAAATTGTCTATATACTAAGGATTAGACTTTAGAATTTATACTATAGACTAGGCCATAGACAAGACTATAGACTAGCGAATAGACTAGACTATAGACTGGGCTATAGACTAGACTATAGATTAGACTATAGACTTAAATATATGCTAGACTATAGGCTAGACTATAGACTTAAATATATGCTAGACTATAGGCTAGACTATAGACTAGACTATAGACTAGACTATTGACTAGACTATAGACTAGACTATAGACTAGACTATAGACTATAGGCTAGACTATAGACTAGACTATAGACTAGACTATAGACTAGACTATAGACTAGACTATAGACTAGACTATAGACTAGACTATAGACTAGACTATAGAATAGACTATAGACTAGACTATAGACTAGACTGTAGACTAGACTATAGACTAGACTATAGACTAGACTATAGACTAGACTAGACTATAGACTAAACTATAGACTAGACTATAGACTAGACTATAGACTAGACTATAGACTAGACTATAGACTAGACTATAGACTAGACTATAGACTAGACTATAGACTAGACTATAGACTAGACTATAGACTAGACTATAGACTAGACTATAAACTAGACTATAGACTAGACTATAGACTAGACTATAGACTAGACTATAGACTAGACTATAGACTAGACTATAGACTAGACTATAGACTAGACTATAGACTAGACTATAGACTAGACTATAGACTAGACTATAGACTAGACTATAGCCTAGACTATAGACTAGACTATAGACTAGACTATAGACTAGACTATAGACTAGACTATAGACTAGACTATAGACTAGACTATAGACTAGACTATAGACTAGACTATAGACTAGACTATAGACTAGACTATAGACTAGACTATAGACTAGACTACAGACTAGACAATAGACTTGACCACAGACTAGACAATAGACTAGACTATAAACTAAACTAGACTATAAACTAGGCTACTATAGACTAGACTATAAACTAAACTAAACTATAGACTAGACTATAAACTAAACTAGGCTACTATAGACTAGACTATAAACTAAACTAGACTATAAACTAGGCTACTATTGACTAGACTATAGACTAGAATATAGACTAGATTATACACTAGACTATAGACTAGACTATAGATTAGACTATAGACTAGGCTATAGACTAGGCTATAGACTAGACTATAGATTAGACTATAGATTAGACCATAGACTAGACTATAGACTAGATAATAGACTAGACTATAGACTAGATTATAGACTAGACTATAGACTAGACTATAGACTAGATTATAGACTAGACTATAGACTAGACTATAGACTAGACTATAGACTAGACTATAGACTAGACTATAGACTAGACTATAGACTAGACTATAGACTAGACTATAGACTAAGACTATAGACTAGACTATAGACTAGACTATAGACTAGACTATAGACTAGACTATAGACTAGACTATAGACTAGACTATAGACTAGACTATAGACTAGACTATAGACTAGACTATAGACTAGACTATAGACTAGACTATAGACTAGACTATAGACTAGACTATAGACTAGACTATAGACTAGACTATAGACTAGACTATAGACTAGACTATAGACTAGACTATAGACTAGACTATAGACTAGACTATAGACTAGACTATAGACTAGACTATAGACTAGACTATAGACTAGACTATAGACTAGATATAGACTAGACTATAGACTAGACTATAGACTAGACTATAGACTAGACTATAGACTAGACTATAGACTAGACTATAGACTAGACTATAGACTAGACTATAGACTAGACTATAGACTAGACTATGACTAGACTATAGACTAGACTATAGACTAGACTATAGATAGACTATAGACTAGACTATAGACTAGACTATAGACTAGACTAGACTATAGACTAGACTATAGACTAGACTATAGACTAGACTATAGACTAGACTATAGACTAGACTAGACTATAGACTAGACTATAGACTAGACTATAGACTAGACTATAGACTAGACTATAGACTAGACTATAGACTAGACTATAGACTAGACTATAGAATAGACTAGACTATAGAATAGACTAGACTATAGAATAGACTAGACTATAGACTAGACTATAGACTAGACTATAGACTAGACTATAGACTAGACTATAGACTAGACTATAGACTAGACTATAGACTAGACTAGACTATAGACTAGACTATAGACTAGACTATAGACTAGACTATAGACTAGACTATAGACTAGACTATAGACTAGACTATAGACTAGACTATAGACTAGACTATAGACTAGACTAGACTATAGACTAGACTATAGACTAGACTATAGACTAGACTATAGACTAGACTATAGACTAGACTATAGACTAGACTATAGACTAGACTATAGACTAGACTATAGACTAGACTATAGACTAGACTATAGACTAGACTACAGACTAGACTATAGACTAGACTATAGACTAGACTATAGACTACACTATAGACTAGACTATAGACTAGACTATAGACTAGACTATAGACTAGACTATAGACTAGACTATAGACTAGACTATAGACTAGACTATAGACTAGACTATAGAATATACTATAGACTAGACTATAGACTAGACTATAGACTAGACTATAGACTAGACTATAGACTAGACTATAGACTAGACTATAGACTAGACTATAGACTAGACTATAGACTAGACTATAGACTAGACTATAGACTAGACTATAGACTAGACTATAGACTAGACTATAGACTAGACTATAGACTAGACTATAGACTAGACTATAGACTAGACTATAGACTAGACTATAGACTAGACTATAGACTAGACTATAGACTAGACTATAGACTAGACTATAGACTAGACTATAGACTAGACTATAGACTAGACTATAGACTAGACTATAGACTAGACTATAGACTAGACTATAGACTAGACTATAGACTAGGCTATAGACTAGACTATAGACTAGACTATAGACTAGACTATAGACTAGACTATAGACTAGACTATAGACTAGACTATAGACTAGACTATAGACTAGACTATAGACTAGACTATAGACTAGACTATAGACTAGACTATAGACTAGACTATAGACTAGACTATAGACTAGACTATAGACTAGACTATAGACTAGACTATAGACTAGACTAGAGACTAGACTATAGACTAGACTATAGACTAGACTATAGACTAGACTATAGACTAGACTATAGACTAGACTATAGACTAGACTTTAGACTAGACTATAGACTAGACTATAGACTAGATTATAGACTAGACTATAGACCCGAATCCGAAAATCGCTTCAGTGCTCACAATTAGTTTAAATATTCTAGTATCTGTACAAAAATCAGTAGATCTAAAATGTATCATATTTTTTTTTTTCAAAAATTTTTCCTTAAAATAAGAGGCACGTCAAATCAATTTCAAAGTTACATTGGAAATGAATGTGCCATCAAAAAATATTTTTCTGGATTTCAAATTTACGATATCGCTACTTTATTGTTTTTAAAATTTTCGCAAATATTTCACACACACTAGAACCAATCTATTAAAACTTAATCCTTGAATCCTAATAGGATATGAAATACTTGTATAAAAATTCCATTTAATCTTCAGGATGTCACCAAAACTTTACTCTTTTTTAAATTATTAACTCTGTTCTTAAGAATATTTACTTCTTATTTGTATGTAACTTGTAAAAAACTCCATTTATTTAAAATTGCAATATATTTGTACAACAATCTTCGTAATTAATCTTTGAATTACAATAAATAACACTAATTTCATTTGTTATTTATCTCATTTTGTTAAATTTCAAATTTCAATATCCTGGAATAACACTTTCCAACTTTTATTCCTTACGTTTTTCTTTTAGCTGTGGTTTATCATTCTTAATTTCACGTGTATAAGACGTCACTGTTGTTATGAAAACTGCAACCAAAGTAAATAATTTATAAGAAAAAAACATTTTTGTTAACGTTAAAAGGATTTTCAAAAACATTTTACAAAACAAAAGTTTTTTTTTTTAAATTTTAAATTAAAACCGTCACTTATAACCGTTGTCTTTCACGTTTACAAACTTAAATGTTTTCTGCAGTATTTCGAGACAAAATATCTTGCATTATCAATAGCTATTGTATCTGCAAGTGCGGGCCAAAACCGGTCAAAGACTCTAAAAAAAAACCCAAACCTGTTGGTTATTATGGGTTTTTAATCTTGTTTCTTCTGCATCAATGAAATGTTAATATGCAATAAGTTAAGTTTTAGGGGGAATGGGTGTTTTGGTTTGGTAGGGGCGGTTGAAGGGGGAAGTGACGGATTGTTGGGGGCAGGAGGGGGGGGGGGGGATCAGGGAAGGAAGGCGGGCGAAGACGGAGACGAACGAACGAACGAACGAACGAACGCGAACTAACGAACGAACGAACGAACGAACGAACGAACGAACGAACGAACGAACGAAACGAACGAACGAACGAACGAACGAACGACGAACAACACGAAGACGAACGAAACGAAGAAACGAACGAACGAACGAACGAACGAACGAACGAACGAACGAACGAACGAACGAACGAAACGAACGAACGAACGAACGAACGAACGAACGAACGAAACGAACGAACGAAACGAACGAACGAACGAACGAACGAACGAACGAACGGAACGAACGAACGAAACGAACGACAACGAACGAACGAACGAACAACGAACGAACGAACGAACGAACGAACGAACGAACGAACGAACGAACGAACGAACGAACGAAACGAACGAACGAAACGAACGAACGAACGAACGAACGAACGAACGAACTAAAAACGAAACGAACGAAAACGAACGAACGAACGAACGAAAACGAACGAACGAAACGAACGAACGAAACGAACGAAAACGAACGAACGAACGAACTAACGAACAAACGAAGAACGAGAACGAACGAACGAACGAACGAACGACGAACGAACGAACGAACGAACGAACGAACGAACGAAGAAACGAACAACGAACGAACGAACGAAAACGAAGAACGACGAACGAACGAACGAAACGAACGAACGAAAGAACGAACGAACGAACGAACGAACGAACGAACGAAACAACGAACGAACGAACGAACTACTAAGAACGAACGAAACGAACGAACGAACGAACAACTAACGAACGAACGAACGAACGAACGAACGAACGAACGACGAACGAAACGAACGAACGAACGAACTAACGAACGAACGAACTAACTAACTAACTAACTAACTAACTAACTACTAACTAACTAACTAACTAACTAACTAACTAACTAACTAACTAACTAACTAACTAACAACTAACTAACTACTAACTAACTAACTAACTAACAACTAACTAACTAACTAAACGAACTAACTAACTAACTAACAACTAACAACAACGAACTAACTAACTAACTAACTAAACTAACTAACTAACTAACTAACTAACTAACTAACTAACTAACTAACTAACTAACTAACTAACAACTAACTAACTAACTAACTAACTAACTAACTAACTAACTACAACTAACTAACTAACTAACTAACTAACTAACTAACTAAAACTAACTAACTAACTAACTAACTAACTAACTAACTACCTAACTAGCTAACTAACTAACTAACTAACTAACTAACTAACTAACTAACTAACTAAAACTAACACTAACTAACTAACTAACTAACTAACTAACTACTAACTAACTAACTAACTAACAACTAACGAACTAACTAACTACTAACTAACTAACTAACTAACTAACTAACTAACTAACTAACTAACTAACTAACTAACTAACTAACTAACTAACGACCTCGTACTAAAATCACTTAATATCACTGTAGCGTATACTTTTGTTCAGGCTTGATCGACTACACTTTCTTACTTTTTTTGCACTATCCATTCATGTAATATTTACTTGGTCATTATGTATTGTATTATGAATGGATAGATTGTAAGTAGAGGCAATTGTATGCTGGTTGGTATGTGCCGATAAGTTAGTTGCAACAACTAAAACAATAAATAAACTACCGAATGGAAATGTAAACCATGACATTAAGTCAGTCAGTCTGTTTTGAAGAAAATAAAAACAATGAAAGTAGTTTTCAAAAAAAAAAAAAAAAAAAACAGGTTGAGGAGTTTAGTGTGTAAGATTGATGTACAGAAAAAGAAAAAGAAAAAAAGTATTGTTAACAACTTTTCTTTGGGGTTATTTTCCTTTAATACCTTTTATTTCTGGAAGTAAAAAAAAACAATTAATTTAACCATTAAACGAGGTATTGTTATTCTGTGTATCCTTGATCGCCCTAAATGAAGTGTATATGCTATGTCTTTATGGAATTCTGTGACAATCTAGTTCTGTTCATGAGCCTTTCCGTATTAAGTATGATAAACAGTGATTTAGAAACGTTTCAATTTGGATATAGTTCAGTATCTCGTGAACTATTGGGATTATTGTAAAGAATTTTTATAAAGTCGGTGTTGGGTATTTTAGGATCTGCTCTGTAAATGGAAAGTTGGGCACTGTATAGCAGACAATCCCATGAATCATATGGATCGGATAAATAAACCTCTTATAACATTGGAGGGACTTATTGAGATACATATAAGGCAACGTCAGGTAGACCTATCGCGACTTTCAGAAATGCATTTTGCGCCATTGTTGATAACTTGTTTCTTATTGAAATTTGTTGGTTCAGAGATGTTTAAGCGTGTGATTAATGACATCACGGCTAATGCTCTGATGTTAATTAATAACTGGGCTATAGAGCATGGAAAATTAAAACTCAACACAGAGTCAACGTGTTGAGTGTGTACAACATCTGTCGCAAGATATTCGTTATAAAATTAGGACTTAGTCCTAACATAGTTAAGTGGATGTATATGTCTATAGTACGCCCTGCTTTTCAATGTAAATCTCTGAATATGGTGGACTACAAGTTTAGAGATAAGCATGTATAGGAATAACTGAATAATGGCTATTTTGCCAGGAATATAGTGATAGTCTATAAGATAGATAAATGATTCAGATGTATTAACCTGAGTAGATGGATTAACTTGAGCACAGATGTTATAACGTGTTTGCTGACAGTAATAACTGGACATTAGGTAGACATGCAAGTCGACTTACAATGACAGGGAAAAATAAGAATTGGTCTTACATCTTCTCTACGACTGCCCTATCTTAGCCACCAAAAGAAATATATTCCTTAGCAACTAATTATAATATATATACTTAACTTTAGTGACTTAATAACCTAAAGGGATATTTTACACCTACATATTGGATCGGCCCTAACAGTGGACGATATTTTTCCATTATTCTGGCAATATATAGCTTCTAAGAGAACTGCTTCTTTTTGAGGACAAATTGGAGAGGAGAAGGTCTTGACTATAAGGCGGCTGGGACAAAACTTTCTAACCACTTCTTTCAAAATAGTGAAATTCATGTCTGGTCGTTTTTGGTCAGTTTTTCGGCCATTGCTCGCTTCAAACGTATTATTTGCATTTGGTACAGATTCCCTGTGATCGTCTGGACTCATTACAGTAGCTCATAAGATCGAAGAGGATAGTATCTCTTCGACCGGCCAACTAAAGATCATTGTCTTAGAGCCATTTATTTTTGCCTTTAGTATCGATTCTGGTAGGGCGGCTTTATATATCGCTTAATTTCTGTAAAGTTAGCATAATCCGATATTCGGGTGTCATGGAATGACCCTTTTTACAAAGGTAAAGGGTGTAATAACAGACCTGTAACGTCGTAAAAGACATATGGGCAATTCCATGCCATAGAGATGTAGATGTTGTAAAAATATAAGTAAAATTTCGATTATTTCCCACTGTACATGTTTTCCTTTAAATTTTTTCATTTTTCTTTAAAACCCTGTGCATTCCTCGAAATTTTCCATTACAAAAAAAAAAAAAAAAAAAACACATTTTCATGCCTTTAAAAATATTTCCTTCCGAACTAACTAAACAACTTTATTGACCAACTGACAAATAAAAATTATCAACTTAACTTTTACAACAATATAAAATAAGTCAATTCCAGTTACCAAATATAAAAAAAGCTGGAAGTTAGTAGCAGCTGGTAGTAATTTACCAGCTTCCATGGATTACATTTTTTTTCTTTTGCTTGGCGCCACAAAGTAAAAAGAAAATTATGCAATTTTATATAGTAAATATATGGATACCAGTACTCTTATACATATCATATTACACTTAATGAACCCGCAAACGGGTTAAAAAAATTTTGTTACCAAATTATTTCAAGTCACGTTTGTTAAAAAAGCACCAAAAAAAAAACTTAGTGGAAAAATTTATTTATACAGGTTGTATTGTTTCATGTTTTTTCACAAATATGTCGCGTGTTAATTAAATGTTAGTGATTAACTATTTAAACTGCTGGAGAAAATACCACCAGAGGTACAGTGGGTGTAATTAAAAAAATATATAGAAATGCAAAATGTTTTGTTTTAAATTATAACTTAATTTTTCTTCTAAGGTCTAACAAACATCAATTTTTTCTGAAACACACTGAATAAATAAAAGACTTAGGACATAAACCTGTAAACATTATTCACAAACAAAAGACTTAACACACAAACTTGAAAAATTGTTTTTGGCAATTTGCTTTTAATTTATAGTGTTTTAGATTCAAAATATCTATGCGTTTAACATATTTATCATTTCTAGGCAAGTTAATCGGCTTCAAAACTTATCAAATGCACTACACGCATATAAATTGTTTTATTTAAAAACTGCATTTTAAATTTTGTTTATGCTCATTATGAGTTCATTGATATTGAAAAACCTTGACCCAAAAACTATAACTAGATATTGAACCGTTAGTTATTAAAACTCTTAACAAATAAATACAAAAAAAAAAAAACAATAAATAATAAATTTAGGTTAACATTATTTTGGCAAAGGTTTCTTTAAAAAATTTGTAATGTTTCTTCATCATCAAGCTTATT